GGTAGTTCTAGTTTTCTTATGTAGTGACTGACAGCTGCACCAGGCTCCTTTGTCAAGACTTCCATGCTGATCTTCTAGGAAAGGGCAGAGTGAAAAAGCCTTCTTGTCACCTTGTGTGACACTATTAGCTGAGTCTTGGCTTTAGATTTTATTGTCCCGTGTGCCCATCCTCAGCTGTGGTTCAGGAAAACCAAGAAAATGGCCTCATTGGATTGAAGTTGAAGTCTTTGACTTTTTATATGATCAGGTCTACTCAGGTCTAATGCTAGTTTAAAAGAAGTTTCTATTTTTCTTTGCAAAGAATGTAATGAATGACATTTATCCTGAAGAGAGGATATAAGCTTAAAAATATAGAGAAACATAAAGTGATTAGCACATTAAAATATATGTAGGCTGTCTGCTCTGTTGACAGTGTACAGAATGGGAGAAGATCTTTGCCAGACAAGGTATTAATATCTAGAATATATAAAGAACTACAAAAGTTAACCATCAACATAACAGAACTGCCAGTCAATTGGTGAATGAAATGGACACTTCTCCAAAGAAGAAACTGAAATGGCCAATAGTTTTAAAAAGTATTTAATATTCTTAGTTGTCAACAAATTCAAATTAAAACTTCTCTGAGATTCCCTCTCATTTCAGTCAGCATGGCCTCCGCTATGAAACAAAGAGGAACAGATGCTAGCTAGCATGGGGAAAGACAACCCTATGCATTATTGGTGGGAGTATGAGCTGGTGTAATTAGTGTGGGGATCAGTGTGGAAAGTTATCAAAAAAAAAAAAAAAACTAAAAGAAGTCACGCTACTATATGACCCTGCTCTGCCACCTCTAGTCAAATACCTAAGGTGCTGCGTGCATTCTGCCTTACAGAAATTTGCCCATCCATGCTTATTGCTGCTCTACTCACAATACCAAGACAGTGGAACCAGCCTAGCTAGGTGTCCATCACTACACAAATGGATTATGTAGCTGTGGGACATATGCACAATGGGATTTCATTCAACTGTAGAGAAAAGTGAAATTATGATATTTCTGGGAAATAGATGAATCTGAAAATACCATATTAAGCAGGGTATCCCAGATTCAGAACGGTACCACCTGTTTTTCCCATATGCAGAGCCTTACTTGAAATGTTTACATACATATGTACATACATGCATGCATACATACATACATTGGGTATGTGTGGTAGAGGTCATATAAGCAGAAGGGGGCAGTGATAAGAGGGAAAGGAGGTATGGAGGACAGGCAGGAACTAGAACACAGGTGACACAAGAGAGACACTTAAAAAAATGCTCAACATCCTTATCAGAAAAATGCAAATCAAAACAACTCTGAGATTCCATCTCACAGCTGTAAGAATGGCCAAGATCAAAAACACTGATGACAACTTATGCTGGAGAGGTTGTGGGGTAAAGGGAACACTCCTGCATTGTTGGTGGGAATGCAAGCTGGTACAGCCCCTTTGGATATCAGTATGGCAATTTCTCAGAAAATTACAAAACAACCTTCCTCAAGATCCAGTAATACCACTTTTGGGTATATATCCAAAGGATGCTCAATCGTGCCACAAGGACATGTGCTCATCTTTGTTCATAGCATCATTGTTTGTCATAATCAGAACCTGGAAACAAACTAAATGTCACTCGACTGAAGAATGGATAAGGAAAATGTGGTACATTTATACCATGGAGTACTACACAGCAGAAAGAAATAACAACATCTTGAATTTTGCAGGTATATTATGACCCTGTGTTTAATATTCAGCTCCACAAACCAAACAAGCCAGGGGTAAAATATGAAAGACATTCACTTCCCGGGAGTCTTGTAATATGATTCTGAATTCAGTTTACAAGGTCAAAATCAAGAAGTTTGTTCTAAGTGTGGATTAGGTGTGCTGAACGAAGGGATAAAGGGAATAGTTTTAAAAAGAGGTAAGCAACCCATGAAATAATGTTGCTATAATTAAAAATATTCTTCAGATTTTAAGTTTTTTGTTCTCTCTCTCTCTCTCTCTCTCTCTCTCTCTCTCTCTCTCTCGTGTGTGTGTCTCTCTGTCTTTTTTCTGGAGATATAGGAAACATGCAAGTCAATTCTGTCGTTTTTCTGTGGGACTGCTGAAAATTGTCACTCTTAGTGGTATGCGCCTTTACCAGCTGCACCATCTCACTGTCCCTTGCTGTATTTAAACCTTATAAAAATGGGGCAGTGCCCTCAGGAGCGGACATGTGTATTGAACTGGGAGCCTAGAGAAGGCACAGGTGCATTTTGAGGATTTCTGTTTGCAGGTCTATCCTCCTCTTTAGGGCTACTTGGAGACTAAACAGTATGGGCAAGTGAAACCCGACAACTCTCATCTTAAGTTGCAAATTGGCCCTAGAGCTCTGGCTATATAGTCTTTGAGGGTAAAAGCTCCTTCAGCCTAGGCCTTCAGGCTTCCTAGTGATTCGCTTCCATCCCCAGGCATACAATCACCTAACATAGATACACACTTCTGGACAATGCTGTTTCAGGTTGGCAAAATAGTACCCAATTGGTTCAGCTCTTGCAATTCTAAGGTGTAGAAATAAAGTGTTTTAAAAATTACATATCAGTAATGTATAAATAGTAAAAATGTTTTATTCAAAACAGTCCCATACATGAACTATCAAGCCATTGAAGTTATAGAGAGAAATTAAGTGCATATAGCTAAGTGAAAGGAAAAGTCTGACTGCTTTATACTTCCAATTATGATATTTTGGAAAAGAAACTTTAGACTGAAGTGAAAAGATCAGTGGACACCAGGGTTTGCTGGGGAGAGACAGATAAATTGGTAGAGTACGGGTCATATTTAAAGCATTGAAACTATTTTGTATAGTGTTAAATAGTGGCTGCATCTTACTGGAAATCCACAGAAACCATAGAACTGCCCCAGTAGTGATTCCTAATGTATACTCTGCCTGCTGCCGAGATCACAGCTGATGTACACTAAGTACTGTGGCTATCTGTTAATATGCCAGTTTGTGCCCATTAGTCACATAAGGTGTAGCATTTGGTGGGATGTTGTTAGTAGAGGAAGTGTATGTATATGTGTGGTAGGCAAGAAGTATGTGTTCGGGGAGGATAGGTGGCAGGAAAGGCAGCATTTGCTCCTTTGTACTTGGCCTTTTTTACTTTTTCACCTGTTGGACATCGTTCTAGCTGTTAGGAAGGTCTTCTGCATTCTCTTTTACACTTAAATAGTGCTTACCTATGTAGATTGAGCAGTGTGTTCAGATATTTCTCCAGTATAAAATATTTTTGTGTTTAATGTTTAGAATTCTCAAAACTCCAGACATGATGCACAACTGTGATGGCCAGTTAGTCACCACTTCCCTCAGTGCTGAAATCACCTGGGACGAGAGTTACGGTGAGGGAGTTCTCAGGGCTGAGTTGGCCTGTGAAGGTGTCTGTAGGGCATCATCTTGTTTACATTAATTAATGTAGGAAGACCCAGCCTAATAGTGGGCAGCATCATTCCTTAGGCGTGAGTCCTGAACTATGTTGATTGTACACAAGGTGGGTTATTTCAGCACTCCTGGGACTCACTTGAAGCCCCAGGGTGGTTAGATCTTCTGAAAAGACTTTTGAGCTTTGAGAGGAGACCTTGCTATGGGACTTTCTTTGTGCCTTTAGTATTTTTTGTATCAAGATTGTTTTAATCATCCAATATAACTTTACTAGAACTGACAGTCCTTTAGTATTGTCTCCCATGGGACTCAGGAGTAAAAAATGATGGCCATTTGCCTTGTCTGTCTTAGAGCTAACTCTGTAGACCAGGTTGGCCCTGAACTCACAGAGTTCTACATTCCTTGCCTCCCAAGCACAGAGTTTAAAGGTGTGTGCCACCACTGCCTGGCTTTATTTCTCTTTTTTGACCCATTCTCCTCATAGGTAAAGTTGATCTGCTATGTCACCACAGATGGATATGTTTGAGTGTGTGTGTGTTTGGGGGGATTATATGCCTGTGTTTATACATGTGTGTGCACACACAGGCCAGGGGTGGATCTCAAGTGATTTCGTCTGTCACTTTCCACTTTAGCTTTTGAGATAGGGTCTTTCACTGAATTTGAAGCCCACTGCTTTGGTTAGCTTGGTTGCCCAGTGATCTCCAGAGAGCTTCTGGTTTCTTTCTCCCCATGGGACCACAGATGAATGTTATTGTGTCTGCCTTCTTACACAGTTGCTTAGGATTGAATTTAGATTCTCCTGGTTATGTGGCAAGCACATACTTACTGATCCATCTCATCAGCTATGGATACTCTATTTTATTGGAAAAGAAGCTTATAATTAATGACAGCTATGGGTAATGATGATATTAAGGAAATTTTATTTAGCTGTTGTACTGTAGCATGTACCCTGTATTTTCATACATTACTTACCATATAAATCTGTGAATTTGGCACGAGCCAAGACTTCGCTATCATTTAACTTGCCCCTTTCTGTATATAGTAAGTGGCAGAGATATACCCAAAGCTCTGAAATGGGTTTTAGAAATAGAGTATCAAAACTCCAGCAGGTTTCCTGTCTTCATAGACTTTATAGGATTTAATTCTTAAACTGTACTTTCTTACTTAGTCTTAGATCACATTGGAAATATCCTGTAGGACACTTAGGGATACTATTTTAGAGTCTAAAGCTTGGCATTTCCATTAAAATTGAGGATAATGTCTCTTGTAAGGAAATGACAGAAAACTCAGGCAAATATAAAACAGATCAGCAAAGATCTGAGTAGTGTCTTTAGTTGCCCAGGGACCTGCCACACCGGGTAACTCAGAGCTTGGCTAGTTAGTACAAAGTACTGTTAGTATAAAGTTACTGTTTCAATGTGCCTATTAGCTATAAAATTTAAGTTTTTAAATTTTAATTTACTTTTTTTTATTTAAAATATAATTCTTATCCCCATAATTTCTATACTGTTTGACAGAAACCAACTGAGGCCTTTTAAAAAACACATTTCATTATTCCTTTTGGTTTACAGTTATTTGCTGGTGTGAAGAATGGAGAAAGCTTGGAACTCTTTGAAGAAAGTTCTCGCTCTGCTCATAAGCAAGAGACACACACCATGGAGGCCGTGAAACTTGTGGAGTTTGACCTTAAACAAGTACTGACTAGGCTTATGACACATCTTTTTGGAGATGGTAGGTACTCAGATATCTTTGTGACTCAAGGCTCAATAGTTCAAAAGTTAATAACCCTGTGCAGCCAATCATTTAAGCTGTTTGGCTCTAATGCTTTTATTGTTGATTTGATTTTTTTCTAAGTTATTGGCAAATGGGAGGAAGCCTGTGGACTTCTTGGTTCTTTCAACTTGATATATAGAAGGTATAGTATGGAATTAGCTAGAGAAGGAACAGTGACAGTGGACTAGATTGTTATCACTTCAAAGAGTCTGGTTAGCTTGGTTTTCGTTTCTGTATTACTACATTACATGGATAAGATTCTTCACAATGTGGAGTACTCCATGCCACAGCCATACATTTGATGTATGACTACTACTGTCAATAGCAGAAGAACTAATTTGAGTTTCTATAGGGAAAATTATATTGTTCAGATTTTGACTCATTTTCTGTACTTGTTTCAAATCTTCCTCCAATGAGGAAAACATTGTTGGTGATTCCTGCAATGGGAGCCTCAGTCCCTATCCCTAGCTGGATCCCAGAGCTCACTGATCTTGGTTGACCTGTATGCTTTTGTTTCTCCAGACTCCTCAATTTACACCTGAACTCTAGTGTGTGTTTAAAATGACTTCTGCTGTAATTTAGTAAGGCTCTGCTGCTCTGTTTTAACAAGGTTTATAGGAATATCTTTACTTCCATATCATCAGATGCATAATTCATATAACATTTAAGATGCCACTAACTAGCCCTCCACATTCTTTATATGGCATACATTATTTAAATTTGCACATTGATGTCAGACTTACACTTTTCTAGGCAGTAAGGAATAGTAATGTGAGGGTGTGGGAAACTGCCTTCATCTGTGTTCAAGATGTTTTATTTTGTAAAAGTATGAAGTAAAATATGACAAAATGTTATGATTTGATAAAATAGAATAATGGCTGCTTGGATGGTTGCTATTATCTATTCCCGTCTCCAGACTTGAAGCTTTTCATATCAAATGGTATAATGTGAAACAGATTTCAGTTCAAGATTGTTGATGAGAAAATCCTATTATAGCTCGCCCCTCTTTATTTCTACAATAAAGGAATTGTGGTATTTTTAGCAGTAGTATAATCTACTTAACACTGAAATCTAGGGAGATAGATCGTATTGTTCAAATATTTAAGAGTCAGGGTAGGGAAGAAGGGATCCCAGTGTTAAGGAGAAACTTTCTGTCTCACAGCTTCACACAGCACGACAGAATTTCATCTGCATCCTTTTCCTTTGTCAAATTATGTACAAAAAATTTATATCCCTCCTTATCATGCTTTTTTACTCCTTTCTGTAAGAAAATAATTGAAATTGCTGCTTGTGAGATTTTATGAACTTGATTTCTATCAGGTTGTAGACATCAAAGTATGGAGTAATCTAGACAGAATACCTGTCTTCAAGGAGTCATGCTTCTTTATATTTTACCAAGGCATCAGTGTCTATGAGTACTCAGAAGAGCCTGTAGTCAGGAGGGCACATGGTGGAGGATTCCCAATAGAGGATGAGGGAGAATTAGCAAGGAAGTCTCCAGACAACCAGAAAACAGTGGGAAGGAAAGGGAACACATAATAACCAAGACTGCAGCCAGGTTTGCAACACTGAAAACATTGGCTGGGGCTACAACCCAGGGACAGAAAGCAAAGAGGAGGAAGGAATGTGGATATGGATGGCAGTAAATCCCATGCCTTCTGAGGATTTCTGTTGAGAGCTCTTCTCTGCCTTTTAAACCCTGATTTATTTATCAGTTTCTGTGATATCTTAGACTTCAGTTATCCAACTTTTAGTTTGAAATAATTCTTGTTTCACAAACAAAAGGAAATATGACATGCAAAATGTACCTTATAGGTTGAAAATAGTAAATTTAGTGTAAATATGAACAAAACTAAGGAAGAGATGCGAAATTACGGCACTGAATGCAAAATGGCTGTGAGGATGGAGGAGCTAATCTGGTAGCTAATGGAATGGGATGCTCCTTGCATCACGTTGGTGCTCAGCTTAGCTTTGTATCATCTGCAACAATTGGAATGTGTCTTTGTAAGCTATGTTTTCTCTGTGTAAATGGAGGTGGTGCTTTTGTTTCCTAGGCCTGAATAATCATACAGAAACTTACATTAATTACAAAGTCTTTGGCCTATAATTCAGGCTTATTACTAACTAGCTCTTACATCTTGAATTAAGCCATTTCTGTTAATATACATTTTACTACGAGGCTTGTGGTTTTTTTTAACTTCATTTTCTATATGTCTTGCCCATTTGGTGGCTGGCTGGTATCTCCCCAGACTCTACCTTTGTCCTCTTTCTTTTAGCCTCCCTTTGACTTCCCACCTAGCTATGTTCCTCCTTGCTGTTGGCCAAAGCAGCTTTTATTATCAACCAATAAAAGAACAACATATATTCACAGCATACATAATAGTTATCCCACAGCAGTGCTGAACTGGTAGCTTAGCATATAAATATGCCCAGGGTTCATCCTAACAACCTGAGCTTCATCTCCTGGGCCTACATGGTGGAAGTGCAGAGCTGATTCTCAGAAGTTGTGTTCTCATTTCCCCAGCATACTATGGCGGGTGCCTGCTGTCAGATAAATAAATGAGCGAATGTGTTGTGCTTGCAAGACTCAGTGGAGACCAAGGAAGTAGATTTTTGGGAATCTACTTTTTAACTTGTTTTGTATTAGTATTTTTAGTATTTGTGTTTGCATGCCTTGCAGAACCATGCACTGAAGTGTAATTTCATTATTCAAGGCTGTTTCTGCGGTACATTTTCTGTTTGTTTGACTGTGATGCCTGTCTTTGCACAGGGCAAAAGCTCATGCCTACATATAAGAATTTTGAAACAGTAGTGAGATAGCATCTCGTTATCAGGAGATGTTCATTTGTTGATTTTTTTTAAAGTCTTGTATACTTGGACTTTTTCAATTCATGCTTTATAACAGATTGGTGGTGTTGTTGTTTTGTTGTTATTTGATTTTGTTTTTTTGAGATATAATCTCGTTGTGTATTTCTGTTTGGCCTGAAACTCACACTGTATACTAGGCTAGCCTCTAACTTAGATGTTCCTGCCTCTCCCTTCTTTGTTCTTTGATTGAAGACGTGAGCCATCGTGCTTGTCCAGTATTTCAGCTTTTCTATGTCTTTAAACTCACTTTTGTTTATAATACCTGCTTCACAAAGATACAGAGTAGAATTAAAGTAAAAAAAATATTTGTTTTTTTGGAGAATAGTGGTAATGTAAACTGAAGTCTGAAAAGAGCCCGGAGAGTGTCTTAGTATAGTTGTGTCAGTGCCGTAAGCTGAGTGTCATGGAGCTCAAAGAACAGTCAGAGGGTACCAGGAGAGGCCAGCTGCTGTCCACCCGACACTGAGCTCTTGCAGAAGAAGCTGTTCTTTCCTGCTGCCAGGTGTAGCCCAGAACTCGGACTCTTGAACCTATTTTTGATGTTAGCTGTTTTAAAAGAATAAAAATAGACCATTTCAATAACCCACGTGGTGCAGGCTAGTAATTCCTCGATTTGGATAGCTGAGGCAGCAGGATCAAAGTTATCCAGGGCCACATAGGTAACAACCTCTCAAGAAAGATTAAAAGGAGCGAGTTGTGAGTAAATGAGAGATATTAGTCATTTTAATATTATTTCTGAGACTGAGACAATGAAATCTATGATGTAAAAAAACAAAAAGGTCAGCCAACCTAACTAAAGTGGCGTTTCTCTCCAGCCCGCCCCTCCCTCCTGTTCTGGGCCAGGTTGTCACAAAGCCTTGATTTGCTACATATTCAATTACATTTTGAGTACCAAAGGACACATAAAAACCTAAACTTTGTTTCATTCTATATTTAATTAATGGCCACAGTTTATCAGCCTCAGACATATTCCTCAAGATTCTTTTTGTGTTTGTTTATATAGCCGATTCTCCTCACTTATTATTATTAGATTTCTTTGTACTTGGAAAGCAGAATTAAAAATTAGACCACGTTTCTCCTTGTGTCAGTTTGATGTTATTATAGCAGCTTTAGATGCAGCTTTCGTCTGTCTCCAAATGTGATTTATTATTTCCTGCTAACATTTGAGTTGTACCAGTATCCTAAGGCCGTTATAAGAGAGGTTATCATTTTAGAATTAGAAAGAAATAAAATAACATTTTAGACTCTTTTTATGCTCATGAAATTCATTATTGTTTTCTATACATCTACTGCTTTCTATGTATTTTGTACCCTGCTTAGTAATCATTTCTTTTAGATCATCTAAGACAGGGATTTAGGATTCCTAGAATTTTAATTTCTTTTTGTATCCTTTGGGGTTCTCAGCCTTTTTCCAGAGCAGTGCCTGACATACATTGGTGTTTCCTAGTAGACTATTACTCTCTCTTCCCTCTCTCTCTCTCTCTCTCTCTCTCTCTCTCTCTCTCTCTTTCTCTTTCTCTCTGCAGGTTAGATGAATAAATCAAGGGACAAAGAGGTCATGCTTCTCTCCTGCTAACCTGGTCTCCTCAAGGGAGCATTCCTGTCTCTGGTGGTGGTGGTCTTTGAAACATATCTCCAGCAATCCCTTTGCTGATATACAAGGTGTCTCCAGCCAGCAGCACCTCAGAAAACAACCATAGCTGCCAGGAGCTCCTTTGCCTGAGGACATCCATTCCCACGTCCAGAGCCTGAGTCTGGCAGGAATATGTTCCATAATGCTGTTGTAACCTCTGCTACCTCTGCGAGTGTAAGGCTTTGTGAGACTGACACCAGGTCGTGTTCTTCCCCGTATGTTTAACTTCTTCCTTACTGTGTTGCCCTTCAACAGGATCTGATTCCCCCCAGATAATCAGCTTGCCAGTTAGACCTGTATAGGGACCAGATGCCTTTGCCCGTGGGGCTGAGGTATTTCCCTAGCTACACTGTGGTTTTCTATCATACTGCCAATTTAAGAAATGTTTTTATTACATTTATTTATTTATTTGCAGGTATATGTGTGTGTCACAGTGCGTATGTGCAGGTCAGAGGCCAACTTGAAGTTGGTATGTTATCTGCTTCCATCATGGGGATCCCTGGGATCAAAATCAGATCACTGGACTTGATGGCCATGTCCCTACCTGCTGAACCATTGCACTAGCACAGCGCTACTTTTTGAGGAGCTTCTTTCCAATTAGTACATCCTTTGTCTTAGTTCTTTTCTCCTTCCTTCCCTCTGGTGAATGCCTGCTTTATGCTTTTCAGAAGGCTACCAGAGCCATTGCTTTAAATTGCTACATTTTACTGTTTATTCCTGGTACCACCTGAGCAAAGGCCTACTGAAAAATTAATGCCACACACAGTGATTAATTATTTGCTTCAGTGGAGGGTACCCTTAGAAGTGTTTAGAAAATCCTTTGTATATGTGTATTTTTTTCCAGGTTCTTGTTATGACAAACAATGCTGCTGTGAGCATAGTTGAGCACATGTCCTTGTGGTATGATTGAGCATCCTTTGGGTATATACCTGAAAGTGGTATTGCTTGGTCTTGAGGAAGGTTGTGTCCTAATTTTCTGAGAAATTGCCATACTGGTAACCAAAGGGGCTTTACCAGTTTGCCCTCTGACCAGCAATGCAAGAGTGTTCCCTTTACCCCACAACCTCTCCAGCATAAGTTGTCATCAGTGTTTTTGATCTTGGCCATGTAAGATGGAATCTCAGAGTTGTTTTGATTTGCATTTCTCTGATGACTAAGGATATTGAACATTTCCTTAAATGTTTTTTAGCCATTTTAGATTAATCTGTTGAAAGTTCTCTGTTTAGGTCTGTACTCCATTTATTTTTATTGGATTATTTGTTCTTTTGATGATCAAGTTCTTGAGTTCTTGGTATATTTTGGAAATCAGTTCTCTGTCTGATGTGTGGAGTATTGATATTAGTTCTTATTTGGAAATCTTGTTGAATTCTGAGTTGAAACAATCTTGACCAGATCATCTTGTTTCCTAAGAGAACGATTTCACACACACACACACACACACACACACACACACACCCGCACCCCCCAGCTCAGGCAGGAAGAGTCTGCTCCTCAACCCTGCTGTCTTCATCCAGTATGGAGATATGGCAGCTGGACCCATCGGAGGCTTGCATTCATTATTAAATGCTTCTTCTTTAGTTGGCCCTAGGCTGGAAGTTCAGAGTATATTTTTGGACAACTGCATTTATGAACAGAGGTCTGAAACTGATTTGAAGCCCCCGTGCTTCATTTGAAAATGTGGATTACAATGTCTTTCTGCCAAAAGAAGAGACAGAAGAAAGAGAAAATAAAACCTGGATGTGATTTTATAGTAGCGGAATTATTTACTACAGGTTAATTTTCCTCAAGCACTCTAGTAAGCGTTTGGGGAGTAAGAGCTGTGTGATGTGGACATACTTAGCCCTGCTTCCAAAATATGTCTTTTCTTTAGTAAATATTTTTTACTTCTCATAGTTCACATGTGAAACAAACCACTGTTTCAATTAGATGTTAATATTATATTGTTAATGTAGGAAGCTTAGCAATTTGTTTTTAAAACCAGGTTAATACAGAAATTTTGAGGTCATGAAGAAAAGCAAAGAAAAGAATATTTTGGGGGCTGGAGAGATGGCTCAGAGGTTAAGAACACTGATTGTTCTTCCAGAGGTCCTGAGTTCAAGTCCCAGCAACCACATGGTGGCTCACAACCATCTGTAATGAAATCTGGTGCCCTCTTCTGGCCGGCAGGCATACATGCAGACAGAACACTGTAAACAAAAATAAATAAATCTTTGAAAAAAGAGAATATTTTGGTGCTAATACTGAAGTACTCAATAAATCATTTAACAAACAGTCTTGAAAGTGCATGACAAAAACAAGAAGAAAATATGTTTTTGTGTTTATATATAAATGTTCTATAAATGATTCTGTTAGCAGTGGTTTAAAAAAAGCCACTGTAACAAGTTTAAATTATTCAACTATATAGGAGAATATGGCATATTTTTGCCAATATTATGCATTAACTAATATGCCAGCATATTAGGACAATGGCACTGGGTTTTGATCCTAGTGCATGTACTGGCTTTGAGGGAGCCTAGTCTGTTTAGATGAGCACCTTCCTGGACCTGGATGGAGCGGGGAGGACCTTGGACTTCCCACAGGGCAGGGAACCCTGACTGCTCTTTGGACTGGAGAGTGAGGGGGAGGGTGTGGGGGGAGGGGGGAAGGAAATGTGAGGTGGGGAGGAGGCGGAAATTTTTAATAATAATAATAATAATAATAATAATAACTAAAAAATAAAAAAAATTGTACCCCCCCCCAAAATATTTTGAAACAGGATCTTGCTAAGTTGTCCCCGTAGTGGCTTTCAGCTTGACATCTTCCTGTTTCAGTCTCCCCGGGGGCTGGGATTACAGATGTGTGTCTGTATTCCCGGCTCTGTCTTTAGCTTGAATGTGGTTACAGATTCACATGTATACACATCTGCCAATATCTGTCAGTTTGTGTATTTTCTACACGTATAGTAGAATGTTTTTCTGTTTTTCCATGTATAAACTAGAAGGGGAAATAAATTAACATTGTTAACAACAGTACCACAGACAACAGTTAACTAGAAAAAGAAATTTCAAGTTGAACAGAGCCAACTGAAAGCTCCACTTTCACATAAAAAGGACCACGTCTCCTGGCTTTGCTTCTGTATGATTTTAATATTATTGTTTTGAAACAGGGTTTCATTATGTAGCCATAATTAGCCTGAAACTTGGTGTGTATACCATGCTGGCCTCAAACTTGTGGGTGATTCTTTTGTCTCTGCCTCTCAAGTGCTGGGTTTACAGTCCTGTCCCATTACTGTCGGCTTCAATCTTGAGTTTTAATTGATGATCAGGTAATTTTGTTCAAATTGTCAACATGAGGGATTTAGAGTAGAGCAAATCTACTAGTCGCCTGCCCTGGCGGTGTGACTTTGGACAAGATAGACTCTCTCTGTTTGGTTCTTCCTTCTCTGTGGAACAGGAGGCATAGTGAGTGCTCACAAGATGGAAGCCATTGCTAGTACCCCCGTTTATTACATGTCTTGATTTATCTGGGGCTCAAAGTTAGATGGTTTTGAGAAAGAAAACAGATTGTCTTAAATTCACAATGGATTGGTTTTTGTGGAATTGCAGAAAGAGGACCATCCCAGGAAGGGACAGGAGCTCAGATGAGTTGTGTTTCTTCTGTGTTCTTGGTAGGGTCATGAAGCAACTAGGGAACTTCTCCTCTGCTCTGTGCCTTCAGGTCACCTCTGCCCTTCTCAGGCATCATTGTTTTGAGTTTTTTAATCAAAAAGAAAAACTTTGCTAAATGATGATGATATCATGCTCAAAGGTACCATATTTCTGATTCTGATTGATTATTGAAGATCAATTCTGACATTTAGTTGGTATTGATTGCTTTTTGTTTGTTGATATTAAAATATATTGGCCATTTAGTGTAGGAAAAATGTTTGATATTTTAAATGTTTGACTTAAATGTGAAAGACTTTATTTTCTTACCTTGCTAGCTGTTAATAATTTATAAAACTGTCAACATATGCTTCGAGGAGAGTGAAAGCTGGTCTTGTTTTCCTCACCTAAGCATTGTGGTTTGTGAAAACAGAATTCTGGGACTGGGTGGGGATCCCTGATTCAAGGGTTTGTTGATAGATTGCAGATGTTAGCCAGAGAAAGACTAGGTTCTACAATAATTTCTTGATACTTCCAGTAAGAAGAATAGGGAACTAGCAGAAATAGGTGCAGTGGGCCAGATCAAAGGGCATTTTTTTGATAATAGAATTTGAGGAAGGTATAAGCTGTGTGTATAGAATCTACTTGCCTTGAGATTAGGGCAATATTATGCCAGATAAACAGTGTTTTGGATTGGAAGGCATTCTAGAAGGAGCGCTGCTCTGAATTGGTATGTTACATGTGTTTTGTGTAGGTGGATTTTTCTTTGGGCCTCCAGTTCATAAATAAAGACATGGAGACTTATTATTTATGAAAGCTTTACCTTAGCTTAGGCTTGTTTTAACTAGTTCTTATAGCTTAAATTAACCAGTTTATATTAATCTACATTCTGCCACATGGTGTTCCTCATCGTCATACTTACTGTCCATCCTGCTTCCTCTCAGTAATTCTCTCTCTGCCCGGAATTCCCACCTATCTCTCTTGCCTAACTGTTGGCCGTTCCGCTTTTTATTATACCAATCACAGCAGGATATCTTCACAAAGTGTACAAGTATCCCAGAGCAGCTCTGGGCTTAGCAAGAGCACTGACTGGCATCAGCACGATGGATTTCAAGTCAGCAGTTTCATCATACACCCAGAAAGGAGCCTCTGCAGCAGGGAATTGATTTGCTCTCTGTTTGCTTTGCATGCCAGCCTTAGGCCTTTGCAGTTGAACTTAGGACTTCCAGAATTGTTATTTCATCATTGATATATACATTTGGAGGACAGTTTAGTGTAAGTATAGTTTTATTAACCTTAATGTGCCACTATCACTTATAGAAACCACCAGAATCCCCTACTTTTTCATGGTCTAGGCCTAATTTCCACAAAATACTTTGTGATTGCAGTGAATCAATAGCTGATTGATTTGCTTTTGGAGGGTCCTGGAATGGCATAAGATTTTTGTTTGCTTGTTTGTTTGTTTTTGAAAAGACATGTCCAGTTTTTCTAAGTTTTATTATTTATTGTCTTGCCCCAGCATATTGCAAATGATCGTGTTTGCTGTTTGATTTATTTAGAATGTTGTAATTGGTGTAGGTAACTGAAAGGCAAATTTGATGCCAAGCAAGGGTAGACTGACTACCTTATGACTCAGTGTGCCTTTCCTCTGGGTTTCTGCAGGGCTGGAGGTCCGGTGGGTGGATTGCTACTTTCCCTTCACCCATCCTTCCTTCGAGATGGAGATCAACTTCCATGGAGAATGGCTTGAAGTCCTTGGCTGTGGAGTGATGGAGCAGCAGCTGGTCAATTCAGGTAGGAAAGAACCTTGTACTACATTTACAGGTTTCCTGGAGGGCCTGCCTATTCTCATGTGACCTCATTTGCATAATCACCTGCAGTTGCATCACCAGGGGCAGCATCACCAACCTCTCCAAGAATGCCCATGAGACCCATGTCTCATGCTGTGCTCATCACTCCTTGTTTTGCAAATGTGTCTTATCTTTGGATACCCCCCTTGTCAACTCTTGGCAGCTAGATTTGGTCTTAGGATTCTGTACTCGTTGGGAGCATTGGGGAGGGTTTTGTAATTGCCCCAAAGGCATTTATTTATATATGTGTCACATGAGTGCAGTTTGTCTTCCCAGCTCTTCAAGAATAAAGCTAATATATAATCCTCCTTTGTTGTTATTGCATTCAGTTCAGTAGCCAGAATTCAAGAGAGATTTTATAACTACACTACAGCATGAAATAAAACCACACAGGCCCATGATACCTAGTTGCTCCCTTCTGTCAGCAAAGGTATTACCATCAAGTGAAAGAATCTGGAAAGACATGTAGCTAATTAAATTCTAAACAAACTTGAGAAAGCTCTTTGCAACTCTTTATCTGGGGGACCATTGCCTAATAGAAATGATACCATTTAGACTTGGTTTCAGAACTGTGCATTTTAAAAATATGACTATGAATTTAATTATGAAAGAACCGTTTTTAAGGCTAGGAATATAGCTTAGTTTGTCAAGTCTTGCCTAACGTGCATAAAGCCCTGGATTTGAATTCTAGCACTCTTTAAAACATGGCGATGTAGGTCTGTGAACAGAGAGGCAGGATATCAGAAGTTCAAGGACATCCTCAGCCATGTAGTGAATTCAAGAGTCGCCTGTGATACATGAAACAGCCTCAAACACTCTAAAATAAATATGTATATGCATGTAGATATATATTGTGGAGTCTGATGTTTTTGGTGAATGTCGAGAGACTAATCAGTGAAGCACCAAACAGAGAGGTACTGATGTGGATTTTTGTCTGCTCAATGTCCCCTACCATCTACATTTTGGCCCTGGAAAAGGGGCATTTGCTTTGTGGTCTTAAAAGGCAATTTTGGATTGGGCACAGAGCCCTCATTTTCAGTGTAGACAAGATTAAGTCATTTCCCGTTGGACAAACTATGATTAAGGGCCTGGTACCAGTTCATGATGAGGTGAGACTGGAGATGGTGGTGGTATGAGTGTTGGAACTGTCCTTGGATAAGAGGCTGAATGCCTGGTCACTCTTTTAATTCTTGTTACTGAGGCCTGCTTCATCTGCTAAATCACTAAAATGATGAATTTTGAAAAATAAAAAGAATTCATTCCTAAGAGGTGGCAGGAGTTCCAATCTCTAATCTGCCTCCTTGAGAATAGGGCTGTAGAATATTTATGGGTTAAAGAAGTGGATGGTTGAGAAAGAGAGAAAGGGGATTAAATACAGGGTAAGGGAGAGTGAACTGATCAGTCTGCTGTCCATGAGTGGTTGTACACATGGCTCTTCCAAAGATGCATATTCTGGAAATGTTGATGTTTGGTTTTTCTGAAGGTGGAGTTTTGGGTCTTTAAGTCAAGGTCACTCATCAGATAACTGTGTGTATCTGAATTAAGGCTGAATTAAGGCTTGATGTCTTCAACCTGGTTGTAGTAGCCCGAAGTGCTCCAGGTCCTGGGAAACGGCAATTGGCATGGCTTAGGGCAGTGGCCACATCTCAGCAACGTTACTGTTAACAAAGCTCGTGGTTGTACCATGTTTATATGTGATTTCATGATTGATGACTGATGATGATGACAGCAAATGACTTGAAGCCAGGGGAGCCTCAGAATCTATCCAGGCTTCCCCTGGCTTTTCTTCTACAGAGAGTGGATCTCTGCACATAGCCAAAGGCTTCATAGGCAGCTTTCAAATGTGTGAAAAGCTGACTGACAAGTGATTTTATTTTCCTGAATATCGGCGTCCCAAAAAGACTGGCTGTGTATGCAGCATCCCTGTTGTTTCACCATGCTGTCTCCCTGCCCTTCCACGTGTTCTCCCTTTCTTGGTTCTTGGTCTCTGCTTTCCCTTTCCGCTCTGTATTTCTCCAGTCCTTTCTCTCACAACAGAGAACTGGAAGAGAGAACTTTGTTTTGTTTTGGTGTTTTTACAATCAGGTCTCATGTAGCCCATGTGATCTTTAAACTTACTGTATAGTTGGACTTTGAATTACTGCTTCTCCTGCTTCGTCTTCTGCATGCTGAGATTACAGGTGTGCACTACCACACCTAGCTTAAGAGAAAACTAGAAACAACATCATGATACTGTACCAGTTTTAGGTCTTGTAGAAGATTGGGTGCGTGCCTAGATCACCAGAAAGCAAAGGTGCTCATGATGAAGCAGTAATGGTTAGTAGCAGATGTCATCTGAGCCCTGATCATGCACTACTATTTAAGAACATATGCTTTTTATGCTGTCTCCTTTATAAACATGCAGGCAAAATTCTGAGGTAGATTTTGCCATAATCCCCATTTTTTATTTTGTCTGTGACAGGAGAATCTGATCAAATAGCTAGCTTCTAGTACTTAACCACTGTCGTGGTGGTTTATTTTTCAACTTGACACAAGCTAGTTGTCTGGGAAGTGGGACCTCAATTGTGAAAATGCATCCATCAGATTGACCTGTAGGCAAGGCTGAGGGTCATTTTCTTGATGAAGATTGGTGTGGGAAAGCAAAGTTCACTGGTAGTCCTGGGTTGTATAGGAAAGCAAACTGAACAAGCCAAGAAGAGCAAGCTAGCAGGTAGAATTCCTCCATTATCTCGGCTTCAGTTCCTGCCTCCAGGTTTCTGCCCTGAGTTCTTATGCTGACTTCTCTTTATGAAGGATTGCAAATTATAAAATGAAATAAACCTTTGCTTTCCAGGTTGCATGTTGTCGTGGTCATTGTCACAGCAATAGTAATCAAACTAAGAGAGCCACCAGGTTATGCTACCCAAATAGGGAAGTGCGTGATTTTGCAGAGGTCAAAAATTGATTTGGAACAACCAGTTTTTCGTAACATGAAATGAAGAATGGATACTAATGGAACAGATGGAGCACACATTTTCACTTGTTTTATAATCAGCTCCCTTAGAAGAAGGGCTCTGCTACCTTGGATGTCATCTATGATATAGTGCATCTTCTTTTTCTTAACATAGTTTTTCTGTTGATTCTTTTGGGAATTTCACATCAAGCGTCCAAATCCCACTCACTGCTGGGCCTTCCATGTACACCTTCTACCCTTGTATTCTCCCCCACGAAAGAAAGAATAAGCCCACTTTGCTCCTCCATCTTGCCTCCCTCTCCATCACAAATCCTTTGTTAAGGTGGCCTTGGGAGCTGCTGTGTGTTGCACAGTATACCCTTTTGCCTGATCTGCTTTACTTGCAAATGTTCATTGAAATAAATTGTTTGTCTGGTTCAGAGCCTCTGTCTTCTGGTATACTGTCAATACTGGACCCTCACAAAACCCCTCTTGGATAAATATTCTTGCTGTTGTCCTGAGTAATGGAGATTAGTGGTTATAGCTAAACAGAACTGGTTCCTTCATATACTCCAGCAGGTCATAGATAGGTAGAAGTTGGAGTGGGCCAACTCAAAATCCTGGATGATAGGCCTGGGTGGTAGCTGAGTTGGTCAGCCAAGACCCCTGCTAGCACTGCCCCTCTTAGGTGAAGGGCAGGGCCAACTTCCCTGCCTCTTGAGGCCAGGGAGGAGCATAGCCAGCTCTCCCAGAACAAGTTAGTTCATCATGGCCCTAGATTGTCAACGTGACTTTAGGCAGCAGTCCAGACCTCTGGCATCTGCATGGCCTTTGCTGGTAACAAGGACTGGGATCTCAACATGGACCCCAGCTGCAGTAGGGCCATGGTTCCAGACATGGCTGTGGTGGCAACACAGGTCCAGATATTCTATGACCTCAGGTGTCACTGCAGTCCTCTCGCATCAGCCTGTTCTCCACCACTGTCATGTCTCCAGTTCTGCCTCTCTTCACAGCACATGAACTGCTCTGCTTGCTTTTCTTTCTTTCTACCAGACATTTACTCATTATAGTGGCACCCTGCCTGTACTGCCTGGTGGTGGCAGTGGTCCTCTGGCCACTGTCTCTACGCCAGATAACAGGCAGGCCTACAGTGCATATTCTTAAAGCATGAGATGAGCTTGCTAATGTGCATGCACACTGCAGTTGGCCTTGCTATACATGTTTTTATGTCTAGAGCATGTGTTTTCCAAGTGCCTCACAGAATTGTATCTTTTCTCGTCTTCCTTGTATTCTATATATTCACTGTGACGTTCAGGCTCCTAGACTTAGTAATTGTGATGTGAGTGTGGTCTATTCTCCTGATGATTTGGTCAATCACCTCATACCCTCTGATGCTTTGAGGATAATATTGAGTCATGTCCCAGTACTACACAGTTTCCCCACTGGGATGACTCAGGCTGATTCTCTCTATTCGTAAGGGGTATGGGATGCAAACATCTAAAGGCATCATCAAGGGATGATGACTGGATATGATTGTACCAGGAAGGAATTTCTCATTCGTTGACACCTTGTGAAGTTCTGAAGATTATACATAGACCAAGGCAGAGAGAAAGGTCTATGGTAGAAAGTAACTTAAAATACTGAATCTATGTCTCTGGTGGCTAATTGTGCTTGTCAGCATGACCACGTCTGGAATCAATTAGAACCTAGGCTGTTGGGTACACCTGTGAGAGATTTCATTGATTGGCTCATTTGAGGTGGGGTGGCTCACTTTAAATCGGATTACTTCAAGCCAGGAGACCCTTTAGATGGAATTTTCTGTCCTGCCTGGTTTCACAGCTGTTCAGTCCCAAAGAAACATACATAGGCTTATATTAATTATAAACTGCTTGACCTATTATCTCAGGCTTATTATTAACTAGCTCTTACAGCTTTATTAACCCATAATTCTGGTCTATAGTTAGCCACAAGGCTTAGTTCCTTTTCTCAGTAAGGCATTCTCATCTTGCTTC